TTCTATAAACCTAAATCAAATCACATTACTCCTTTAATTAAAACCATCTGGTGAATTCTCATCTCATTTAGAAATAAAAGTCAAAGTCATTGCAACAGGCTACTAGCCTCCACACGATCTAGCCTTTCCCCTCCCCCTCACCTCTGGCCTCATCTTCCAGACTGGATTCCACCCTCTGGCCTCCTGCACTCCAGGCAGAATGACCTCCTCACACTTGTCAGACAGCTCCCACCTTAGGGCCTTTGTGGGTCTATTTGCCTCCAGCCTCCGTGGTTTACCGCACTGCCATTAGAGTAAGGTGGTTTTATGAAGTAGTACCTTCTGCTTCTTTCTTTCTTTTCTTTTTTTTTTAAAAGATGACCGGTAAGGGGATCTTAACCCTTGACTTGGTGTTGTCAGCACCACGCTCAGCCAGCGATCCAACCGGCCATCCCTATATGGGATCTGAACCCCGGGGCCTTCTTGTTATCAGCACCGCACTCTCCCGAGTGAGCCACGGGCCGGCCCACCTTCTGCTTCTTTCGTACTCAGCTGCCTGTTTGTGGCCTTGTAACCTTCTTCTTCAATCAGGATTGAGTCAAAAACAACCTTTAATATATGCTGAGGAATTTCTTAGGAATTTCCACCCCCACCACACATATTAAGCCAAGGAAGTAGGTGAAAAGAGAAATGATTGGACAACTCACAGCGATACTTCCCAGTAAACAGACCACCCCCATTTCTTGCAAACCTCTGTAGTGTAAGCAGATTTCATCTGTCCTGGTCCTCCCAGACCCTCCCTGGGCCCTTCCTCCACTGACCGGAAAGCACACCGAGATGCACAGGGTCGCTGAGGCTGGTCTGGCCTGTCTGGCACCTGTACTCCCCGCTGTCATCTCTCTTGGCCTTAAATCTGTAGCTGGCCTGGACCTGGGTGGGGATGGAGCTCCCATTGTGGAACCACTGGGCGGAGTTGTTCCCAGGGGTGTGGGCCCCCTGGCACCTCAGAGTCACGTAGTCCTCCTGGAGCACATGGGTCCACGGGGGCTCGAGTTTCACCATAGCCTTTGGGAGAGCAGCTGAGGGGCAAAGAGCAGAAGGATATGTGAATAAATAATCTTGGAGGGACTGGAAAGTCCTACTGTAGACTCAGTTAAAGATCTGTGTCTTTGCAGCAGCCTATCCTCTGGGTCTTTGATGGACCAGCAGGAATCTAAAAAGAATTAAATCCCAGGCCCCAGTGAAATGGGGGAAGTGTCCATGCTGAACCCAAGCCTGATTCTTGGTGAAACAGATATATCCCTACATAGTAAATACAGTATCACATTATGGGGAAGTAACACATTAATACAAAAAAGCAAAGAGCTAACTCACCAGCTCGCCTATCAGAAGCTGTAAAAGAGAAAAGAGTAGATCAATGTGGAGCAGGAAAAGATGAGAACAAAGTTAGTTTTGTGTGTGGGCAGAGGGGGATGATTTTGGCTCCTTCTTTCCCCAGGACCCATCTCAAGAGCCTGTTTCCAATTGATCTCTTATAAAAGTATTCATTTCTCATTCCTCCTTATCTCATCCCTGTCCCTCCACGTGGCGACAAAGTAAACATGAATGTTGGTACAGAATGGACTTCCCAGGGACTGTGAAAGTACCACTGAATTCTGACTTTAGGAACCATTACAACAGTAAGAATTCAGGGTCCTCTCTCCTCTTTCAATCTGTCTCAGCTTCCAGGGCCCAGGCCTATCCCTCACCACACTGGTCCCTAAAGTCTGGACAGTAGGAGTCTGAAATTGACCTGTTCAGAATGACCCTCACTCACCCAGCAGCAGCAAAATTGTCAGTGGTTGAAGCAGCCACAGTCTGCCAGGATGTATATTCTGAAACATTTGGTACTCCAAAGTCATTCCAGAACTGGTGCAGAATCCAGTGAGGTTTAGGAGATAAACTTAGAAAAGAGGAAGGAAATTATTTCATCTTCTCATGCAACTATCATCAGTTACCAGATTCTGTTCTGCTAAACAATGCATAACAAATGAAACTAGAAGCTGAATCTACTTTGCAGATATATCTCTCTAGCACGTATCCCCTCATGTCCTTGTGAAAACCTGAGGGAGAGTTTCTTGTGCTGGTGAGGAAATGGATGGGAGAAAACGCCAGGAAGCAGAGCTGGGAGCAGAGCCCACAACTAGGTTCTCAGATCAGTGCTATTTCCACTCCCTGTGCTGCCTCACTGGCCATTACACAGAAAGGTCCAAATGAGTTTTGACCCAGACAAGATTAAAGAGATGCTTTGAAATCTGCAACCGGTAAGAATCAACATTAAACAACAGTAACAAAACGGGGTAGTTATCTGTGGGAAACACTCAATCCAAGAAAGCCTCTAAATATGCCTCAAGCAAGTCTATCCCCCTGCCCCTACCCTTAACCCCTGTCCTCCACACACACAAGAAAGTTCAGGAGCAAGAAATAATTTTGGTAAGAAAGCCCTGGAGCAATTCAAAATGTGTTAAAAGAAGGAAAACACTTTTTTCTCTATATACGCTCTCAAAACAGCTGACACAAAATGTATGTTTTTTTCCCATACTAAGCAATTCTCCAACACCAGCTGGTGTCCTACAATTCAGTTCAATTCTGACACTATCTACCTGGCCTTAGCATTAGAACCCACAGGTTAAGGGTTCACTGCCACAAGACTGCCCCCAGTTCAGATGCCCATCACAAGTCCAGGCCTACTGTACTTCTGTACTTCTGGCTGTAAATCAGGAGTTCCTATCACTCCCTTTTCAGATTCATCATTTTTTAGAATGGCTCACAGAACTCAGGGAAACGTTGACTTATGTTTATCAGTTTATTATATAGAAAAGGATATGAAAAAGGATACAGATGAACAACCAGATGAAGAGGTACATGGGCAAGGCCCAGAAGGGTCCTGAGCACAGGAGCTTCTGTCCCCAAGGAGTGCGGGTGCGCCACCCTCTGGGCACGTGGATGTGTTTACCAACTGGAAGCTCTCTGCACCCTGTCTTTTGGGGATTTTTATGGAGGTGATTGATTATTAATTCACTCTCCAGCCCCTCTTCCCTCCCCAGAGGATGAGGGGTGAGGCTGAAAGTTCCGAGCTTCTAATTGTGGCTTGGTCTTTCTAGTGACCAGCCCCCATCCTGAAGCTATCCGGGAACCCACCAAGAGCTGCCTCATCAGAACACAAGACATTCCTATCATCCAGGAATTTCCAAGGGATTTAGGCATTCTGTGTCAGAAACTGGGGTCAAAGATCAAATATTGTAACAAAACATGTTCTTAGTACTCTTATTGCTTGGAAAATTACAAGGGGTTTAGGAGCTCTGTGCTAGAAACAGGGCAGAAAACAAACTATAAATTTCTTATTGTTTCACAGCTATATATTCTGTGCAGGTGACTGTGTAGCGTGATTGGGCTGAGCAAAATGGTATAATGGTCACAGTGGTTAAAATTCAGACTATGGGGACAACGACAGGAAAAGTAGACAAGAGGAACAACATCAACCTTAAAAGCTTCTGTGCATGGAAGGAAAAAATCCATAAAGTGTAAAGATAACCTACAGAGGGCTGGCCCATGGCTCACCTGGGAGAGTGTGGTGCTGATAACACCAAGTCACGGGTTAAGATCCCCTTACCAGTCATATTTTAAATAAATAAATTAATAAAATAAAATAAAATATGGGCTGGCCAGTTAGCTCAGTTAGTTAGAGTGCAGACTCATAACATCAAGGTCATGGGTTCAGATTCCCCTACTGGCCTGCTGCCCAGAAAATAAAAATAAAATAATAAGTATTGGTTAAGATGTGGAGAAATCGGAATCCTTGTGCATATTGGTAGGAATATAAAATGATGCAGACATTATGGAACTGGAAGCTTCTCAAATAATTAAAAATAGAATTACCATATGATCCAGCAATCCCATTTCTGGGTATATATCCAAAAGAATTAAAAGCAGGATCTGAACGAGATATGCACACCCATGTTCACTGGCAGTATTATTCACAACATCTGATGGAAGTAATCCAGATGTCCATCTATGTATGATGGATAAACAAAATGTAGTGTGTGTGTGTGTGTGTGTGTGTGTGTGTGTGTGTGTGTGTGTGTGTGTACACAATATGTAGTGGATTGAAATATGTCCCCCCATAACTCCCTGAAGTTTGAATCATATCCCCAAAGTTTTATGTATTAGGAACTTAGCCCCCACTGTGACAGTCAAGAGTTTGGGAAATCCTATTATGGTAATTGTAAGATGGGGCCTTGAAGAGGTGATTGGGTTATAGGACCTTGCAGTAGCGAATGGATTAAAAATGGTGGTCAGGGGTGTGGTTCTGAGGGCTTTAAAAGAAGAGGAGAGCCTGTCTGTTTCTCTTTCTCTGCTCTCTCTGCTTACACCATCTTGCAATGTGAGACCCCTGGCTCACTGTCACCACCACCAAATGGACTTTGGACTTCCCAGCCTCAGAAAGTGTAAGCAATAAATTTTGTTTTCTTTATAAATCACCCAGTTCCATTTTTCCGTTATAAGCAACAGAAATGGGCTAATACAGTGGGAATCCTATTATGGTAATTGAAAGGTGGAGCCTTAAAGAGGTGATTGGATTGTACGACCATGCAGTAGTGAATGGATTAAAATCAGTGGTCAAGGGTCTGGTTCTGAGGGCTTTAAAAGAAGAGGAGAGACTGCCTTCTCTCTCTCTCTGCTCTGTCTGCTTCCACCATCTTGCAATGTGAGACCCCTGTGTTGCTGTCACCATCACCAGATGGACTTTGGACTTCCCAGCCTCA